CCCACCCTGCCCTGCAGTGGCTACAAATGCCTCTGCAACAGCACTTCTGCTTTAACCCTTTTTAGCTCAGAATGTAAATCTGCTACTTGTTGCTCCAACTGTGTTCTTATCTACCATGTCTTTGTAAGCAAACAGAAAACAGCCTGCCATGTGTCCATCATGACTCAGTCTCTCCTTTGAGCAGTTATGGGGGGTTTGTACAAGCTCACCCCAATACTTTAGCACTCCCATGGGGTCCTAAGCTCCCCACAGTTCAGGTCTTACATTAGTGCAAGTTTCTGTTTTATCCCACAATGTGCTCCACAGTTCCTGCATCCACCCCAGTCATTACACAGGAGGAGCCACAGCCTGAGGGTCTTTCTTGCAAAACATAGTGATCATATATTATACAAAATTTCAGCGTGGCCCCGACAATAAAAATACACACAGAACAGCATCTCTTCGTGCAGCTACACACCCCACTGACCAAGCACTGCCCTCAACACACACACATACAAGGGATCCCAAAAGCACACTCCACACAACTACAATACTTGAAACACAATCAAAATCCAGACAAACAACTATTAATAATGTGCTTACAATGTGCAATACAGTATTAGTCATATCATGTCTTGGAAGGCAGACGCAGGGACTGTGAGAATGAAGACCTCGGGCCCACTGTAGGAGAGTATCTGGTTCGAGACCATATTAAAAATCTGAACATGCACAAGACCATGGGCCCTGACAAAATCCATCCGCGGGTCCTGAAGGAGCTGGCGAATGAAGTTGCTAAGCCACTGGCCATCAGATTCGAGAAATCATGTGTGGTGGTTGAAAACCAGCCAGACAACTTGTTCACGCACTTCCCCCCCTTCTTGCCCTCCCTCTACTCCCAGAGGGACGGAGAGGAGAATCGAAAAGAATGCAACTCCCATGGGTTGAGATAAGAACAGTTTAGTAACTAAGGTATAACACAAATCACTACTGCTACCACCAATGATAATAATGATAAAGGAAATAACAAGGGAAGAGAATACAACACCTCAGCACCAGCCGACTGATAACTTGCCCCCCCAGCCCGACCAAGCACTGACCGATACCTCCTTCAACCCCATTGTCTCCCAGCCCTTCCGGGTAACTCTCCGTTGCATCCTGGGCATGACGTGCTGTGGTATGGAATACCTCTTTGGCTAGCCTGGGTCAGGTGTCCTGTCTCTACTTCCTCCCTGCTTCCCCTCCTCCCTGGCAGAGCATGAGGCTCACAAAGTCCTTGGCCAAACCAAAACATCATTGTTATCAGCTCTGTTCCCAGGACGAAAGCCAAAACACAGCACTGTACCAGCTATCAAGAAGGAGAAAAATGACTGCTACTGCTGAACCCAGGACACCATGGCAGTCAGGTGAAGCTCCCGACTACTGGAAAAAGGGGATTATAACCCCATTTTCAAGAAGGGGAAAATGGATTGTAAGCGGCGAGGAGAAGCAGACAGGCCAACCCAATATGGGTGATAAGCAAACTTCTAGTTTATTTGTGACGCAGTTCACATATATATAGGAGTGGTATTCAGCCACTCCTCCTTGGCACAACAGTATTGGTTAGCCCCACACACCTTCCTCCACATTCTCCTCCCATGTCCGGTCTCCGGTTACCTGTGGGGGCCACCCCCTGCCTTGCTCGCACAGTCCTCCAGGGCTCTATGGTCCTGCTCTTATTGTCATTCTGCAACAATGGATGACCCGGGGAATTACAGACCAGTCAGTCTCACCTCTGTGCCTGGCAAAATCTTGGAGCAGATTCTCCTGGAAGGCATGCTAAGGCACATGAGAAACAACAAGGTGCTTGGTGACAGCCAGCATGACTTCACTAAGGGGAGATCCTGCCAGACGTGGGGGTGCTGGTCAATGAGAAAATGAACATGAGCTGGCAGTGTGTGCTTGCTGCCCAGAAAGCCAACCCTATCCTGGGCTGCATCAAAAGGAGTGTGACCAGCAGGTCAAAGGAGGTGATCCTGCCCCTTTACTCTGATCTTGTGAGACCTCACCTGGAGTATTGTGTGCAGTTCTGGTGTCCTCAACATAAAAAGGACATGGAACTGTTTGAACAAGTTCAGAGAGGGGCCACAAGGATGATCAGGGGACTGGAGCACCTCCTGCATGAAGATAGGCTGAGAAAGTTAGGGCTGTTCAGCCTGGAGAAGAGAAGGCTGCGTGGAGACCTCATAGCAGCCTTCCAGTATCTGAAGGGGGCCTATAGGGATGCTGGGGAGAGACTATTCATTAGGGACTGTGGTGAGAGGACAAGGGGTAACGGGTTAAAACTTAAACAGGGGAAGTTTCAATTGGATATAAGGAGGAAATTCTTTCCTGTTAGGGTGGTGAGGCCCTGGAATGGGTTGCCCAGGGAGGTTGTGAATGCTTCATCCCTGGCAGTGTTCAAGACCAGGTTGGATGAGGCCTTGGGTGATATGGTTTAGTGTGCGGTGTCCCTGCCCATGGCAGGGGGGTTGGAACTTGATGATCTTAAGGTCCTTTCCAACCCTAATGATTCTATGATTCTATGATTCTAAAACCCAGCAGAGCATGACTTTCTACTTCCGAGAGTCAGTGATAAAATTGTAAATGTTGAATTTTATTCAAAATGTCTTAGTCATTGCTACTGAATTTTGAACTAAGGATATGGAACCCTGCCTCCTGTGCTGATTATGTCTCTATTATTGGTGCCTCATTACTTTTTGAAGAAGATGTCTACATCTGCAGGTTGATCTAGAATGAAGTCAGCTGGAAGATCTCCATTGATGTTGGTGGCTTTTGACTTGGATTTGCTGAATTTGTTCAAGAAACGCCAGTGCCAGGAAGTGATAAAGGAAACCTGATATAGTTTAGCTTAGGATTTTTAAGTTAATAAAAAGTAAACTTTTTCCTTTTCTGAAAATGAAAATTCCATTCTTTCTCCCATAGTACTTTTGACAACACCAGGTGAAAATTATTGTGTCAAGCCAGATGGACTTAATAATTGGAATTCAACAAAGTTTTTAACGGTTCTATTTTTTTATACATCTATAATGAGCAAATTTTGTAAAACCGAGGAAAAAGTATAAATTAAAGCAAAGTGGTGGTAGCACAATGCAAATGCTTTGCACTCTAGAGTGGGCTGTTATTCTGGCTTTATGAGTAATTTGAAACTCTTTTAATCATAGAATCATAGAATAGTTAGGGTTGGAAAGGATCAGCTAGTTCCAACCCCTCTGCCATGAGCAGGGACACCTCACACTAAACCATGTCACCCAAGGCTTTGTTCAACCTGGCCTTGATCACCACCAGGGTTGGAGCATTCACAACTTCCTTGGGCAACCCATTCCAGTGCCTCACCACCCTTACAGTAAAGAACTTCTTCCTTATATCCAATCTAAACTTCCACCGTTTAACTTTTAACCTGTTACCCCTATAACTGTAGATTGGTTTTGAGATTAAGTCAGACATCAGAGTCATGAACAGATGCATTATGTTTTATTAAATCTTAGACTCTTTCATGAAAAATAATGCACCAAGGAGAGGTGAATTCCTGATGCTAACAGGCCCAGAATTTTACCCTCTGACTTTCTCCTCCTCAGCCAAACTGTTCCCTAGTTCAATTTCTGAGATGGTGTCCTTCTGGTTTTCTCACATACTTTCATTTCAGAACCTCTCCTTGTTCTTTTCATAGGCAATGTTGTTTCTCTTATTCAAAACTCAAAATGGGAAAATGGCATGTCTTAATATATGTAGAGCTTTGATCTGTTTGAGTGTTTTTTATATCTTTGGGAGTAATACCTGCCTGTACTTTTATACATACAATTCATAGACTAGTCTTTTGCTTAAATTTGTAGACCTTCTTTGTATCTACTTAATGGGTTCCCCTTCCATGTAGTTTATTCATGTATTAATTTACAGCCAGAAGGACTAACATGTATCTTGCTTTAAAAAACATTGACTTGATAAACTATTTGAGTGGATTTTTTCATTTTAAAGAATTTTTGCTTTCCTTTAAAATATTTTTAAAAAATATTCAGTTATTTAAAATAAAATGCTCATGCTGGCAATCTATGTTAAGACGAGAACATATCAATAAAACTGTTGGACAGGAACAGTGTCATGCTCTGTTTCTTGTGTGCACATGGCTTACAGTCCAGTGCAAGCTACGGTAAGTTAATTCCTGGCAAGTGTCACTGCAATAAATAATTGGATTTTTTGACAGTGAAGCAAGACTAAATTGCTCAATCCTCTGCTCTAAATAGCTGACCAGTTTTTACTAATGGTGTCTGTCAGATTAAATCTAACCAATATAATTGATAGAACATCGTTGCTGTCCTTTGAATCAGGTGCGAGTAACAAGTATACCTTGTTGTATAGGTGGTTTGGGTAGCACTGACTCCCTGTAAAAATATCCTTCCTTTTCTACCCCTATCAAAAGTACTTTATAGTTAATCTTCTAATCATGGGAGATACATGATTTGAAACAGCATTCATGGATGCTACAGCCAAACTATCACCTTGTATACAAAAGACCCCATGGAAGGACTGCTGTCTATAATCATGCAGGAGGACCACAGGAAAACTCAACTTCACACTGCACCAAGGGGATTCTGGACTGAATCTTGGCCTCCCTAGAAAATACCACTAATATCAGATTCCCTCATGTGAAGCCGAAATACTGTCTGCAGTAGTTGGTGATGTGCAGATATCAGATAGTGGAAGTGATAATGGTGGAAAAGGTATCCTAGAAGTGTATTTATAAGACAGTTCTTGTTGGTTTTCTTGGATTTGATAATGAAATAATAAACAAGATGGATCATGATGGATGATTTCAAACAGTTCTTATGCAGTCTTTTAGTGCCCCAGGTTTTGCCATTAAAAACAATGTTTTAAGTTTAATTTCTCTTTTATAAAGCCTGCTGTGCGCCTGCTTCCTTTGGAAAGGCCGGAGTACATGAATAGCTTTATCATATAGAATACAAAGGTCTGTGGCTACTACTTATCACATTCATACTGACTCTGTAAAACTGAAGATCACTTCACTGAAATGAAGTTTCAATGTTTTTATTCAAAGCAGCTTCTCACAATATATAAATACTGCATATTAACACACATGAAAAATACAACTGCTAAGGCACCCAGAAATGTGTCCATACACTAGTTACAGGGCCATCAATAAATAAATTGTGTACAATTTGATCTAGACAGTATTTGATACATCAGAAGATACAAGTCCCTCAGTACTGTACCATTATCAGAAAATATTTACAACACTGTGACATAGGGGTGCCTGTACCCTCATAATATTATAATATGTACTCATTATTAAAAATATTAGAAACTGTTTTAGTCTGTTCAATGGCATTTTGACAAAATAACTTAAGGTCCTAATTTGCAAAGGTCTATGATTAATTCTTTGTGCGAGTTCTGAGAAAAAATTTACATTGACATAATTTGCGAATTTCTGGTTCTTTGCTTCATCTCAGAGGTTTGGTAATAAGCCTTACCAATAGACATGCCATCCTAGCTGGACGTCACTTCTTTCCCAATAAGTCAGTGGATACATCTTTTCCCCTTATGCTTGTCGTGGATGAGAATGCAGTGTTTGTAGCAGGAAGACTGATCTTCAGTACAAATGTCAAACTAGTTCACTGGCAAAGGAACTAATGCTTTTTTAGAATAATGCAATTCTTTCTTTGGTCCTTTTTTTTATGGAAGACGTAATATTTTTATTCACTAAAAACTGAAATCCTGTCTGTGAGTAAGCAAGATAGTGAATGCCGCTCAGTGTAGTATTTAAAGTAGCAGTAAAGAGATTTAATATGGCTTAAAACAGATGGTTAATTGGGAATACACAGATGGCACATCTAGGATACCGAGTACCCAAACGTATTATAAGATTGTCTGTAAGTCTCTTATATAAAATTCTTTAGTGTCTCCTAAAGAGTGCTGGCTTTAGCCAGATTTGACTTTTATAGACTCAGCCATATAAAGCTTGAGATAAACTACTACGGTTGGGAGCATAAATGCACAGTTTTATATAACAAAGTCCATGCTGACAAGTCTACCTATGTTGTTCAAAAGAACCCGTATTGCACTTTTCACAAGAAAAAATTAAGGCCCCGTACTCTGATTTGCTAACTCTCTTACAGCAATTATGTGGGGAAGTCCTTAGCACAGCATAAGTAATTATGTAGCTTTAAGGATTTCTTGTACCTAATGGTAAGGCTTATTCACAAATGCAATATATTTATAAATTACATTTAAAACTGTAAAGGCTGGCAAAATAATAAAAAAACCCAAAGCTAAATGAAATAAAACAAACCCCAACCAAAATTGTTTGTTTATCCCTACCATTAAAATAGCATTTTATTCTAATGAAAAACTATTGGCACAAACCCATTATATTAGAGATTAAAAGAACAGCTAATATTAGTGAAAAAAATTGCCTAAAACACATACCCTAACCTACCACAGAAATATAAAAGTTTATATTCTGAAAATATATACTGTATTACAGTTTGTAAGCTTATTCATTTAAACCAAAAAGTACTGAAATAGTAACCTAAGCAACAGTTATCTACAGCAAAACTACATGCAGGACAACACAAAATAAATTGCTTACCTTTAATATATACAAATACAAAACTGTAGATTTTTAAAGATTGTAAAAAGCCATTTACACAAGAATAAAATAACATACTTAACAACAAATTGCATTTATAATCTGAAATACTGTGAATATAAGTAAAGGTACCCAGACTAATATGTACAGTACATCTAGATATCTGAATATCTAGTCAGGACAGAAGCATAAGAGAAAATTGATTTCTGATCTTTAAATACGTGAAAAGAAGCTTTTGAAATTGTTATTATTCTTTTTGGAGACGACAATAGATTCCATGAAAACTAGATTGTGTCTGCATAGGCATGAATAATTAAAGATGTTAACTATGCGTTAATGGAAAATTAATTATAGAAAATGTATTTCAACCATTCCTTTGTCATAAAAAATGCTAAGATACAGATATCTGAAAATTCAGATGAAATGACGCAGTTTAAAGTTCTAAGAACTTACGATTCTTTGAAAATCTTATCTGGAAAGCATACTTTCACATTGCTGAGCAATTTCTCTATCTGCAAACCCCAAGCATAGTATTGAAATAAGCTTCCTAATATCTTATTATCACATGACTAGGAGTTATGGCTCTCTGAATGGGAATAAATTAAATAAAGGAAATTGAGCAATCATGGTACTTTCCATTCCTTTTTTTTTTTCTGAAGTCATATGCTAGAGGCCTGACTGTGCAAACACTCCCCATGTGAGTGGTTTGCATTTGAGCAGCTCCTCTCATTTAATTCCATCCAGGTGACACATGTGCACACAGCGGCAGAGTAGGGGGTCCCTTGGCCTTGATCCAGCCACGTCCCTGCGCTACGTGGCCTCGCTGGCAGGTTGTGGAAATAAGAAAGTATTAGTATAAAACAAGTGGTGCATCCAACACTTCAAATAGTTATTGAAAGAGCTCTAATTCAGACATTTAAAAGTAAGTTACTTGTTCTGATAATGTTTTTGTGAAAACCATTAAAACAGGCCAATTAGAAAACAGATTTTGTCTTTTTAATGAAGAATTTCCATGAGAACTTCTGCATTTAAGGTACAGATTTCCTTAAAATTCAGTGGTACAGTTAGGCTATAGAAACAGCACTTCTAATTATTTGAGGAAAAAGAATGTTATATTAGTGTGTTGTAATCACCTGTTTGTTAACTTTACAAAGGCCTGAAACTCTTCATGGAAATGCCAGGAGGGAGAAAACCTAGGAGCTTCATTTGCAGAGGTTTAAACCATAAACAAGTCACCGAGCTGAAGGATGGAGGGCAAGTGCACAAATCACAAAGCAAACAAATGTGCAAAGCTTCTGTTTCAAGAGGTGCTGGTTTGGGCACACTGCAACGGCAGGGGAAGTCACAGAGCATGCTTGTGTTAGTTCCATATTAATTGCTTCACTAGCAAGAAAGAACTGAGAGATCCAGTGTTCAGGAGTCTCAGTCAGTATCACTGAAAAGTACTAGGATCACATTCTAAAATAGCAGATTGGATTTTTGTCATTTACTGTGGATTGCTTTTATGCCTTAAGTTCTTGTACCAGATGGTGGGGTGGCCAGATATGAAGAGCTGGGTAAAGCAAAACAAAACAGCTCCCTCCACTTGGTTCAATACCAAGCACCTTGTATAAACTGCTGGCCTACACCTAAAGGCCTCCAGAGAGGAAATTATCTTACACCTGAGGAATCAGGCAACTAGACTAAGGGTCATAAGTTGCAATTAGACTTCAGACCAAAAGGGGTTGTTTAAACCTGAAAAACAGTAAGATGCCACATAACAGCACCACTCACCCTGTTACTGAAATCCGACTAACAGGAATATAATAAACTTAAATAAAGCATCTTCTTGGCAAACCCTTAAATGCTCCTCACGAAGGCAGAAAGTGAAGAGAGACTTAAGGGGGACTCACTGTTTCAGAATCTACATTTTTTTCCCCTTACCCCTGGAAAATGAATCTATTCCATACATTTTTTTGTTCAGTATAACACACAGGAACATGCATGTGGCTGTTTCTTTTACTTCCCACAGCATTCTGTGTGTTTTCTATATAGTCTTAATTTTACTATGCAATTTGCTGCTAAAAATGTGCTTGCATTCTCATGTGATGCCATTAATTCAGTCAAGGGTAGTATGGAAATAAGATCTGTGATCAATAAACAGCTGAACATGAACACAAAACAAATAAGTTAAATAAATTCAACAAAGAAAAAAATCCTAGTATTTTTTGTAAAATTAAATACATATTATACATGTCAATTATCAGATTTTTTCATTACACTGTTAGGACACAGAAAAAAAACCTTAAAATATTTCTAAAGCATGGTGTTTTGGTCTGCAAAATATTGTGCTGACCCAGTTTTTCAATTGAGCCCTCTGTGTCAGCCCAGACGTGTGGCAACAGCAAGAATAAGTTAAGAAGGACAGACAAAATAAATTGCAGAATCATAAAATTGTTAGGGTTGGAAAGGACCTTAAGGTCATCTAGTTCCAATGCCCCTGCCATAGGCAGGGTTGCCTCATATTAGACCATTTCACCCAAGTCTCTGTCCAACCTGGCCTTGAACACTGACAGGGATGGAGCATTTACCACTTTGGGCAACCCATTCAACTGCCTCACTACACTCACAGTAAAGAACTTCTTCCTTATATAGAACCTGAACTTCCCTTGTTTTAGTTTGAACCCATTGCCCCTTGCCCTATCTCTACAGTCTCTAATGAAGAGTCCCTCCCCAGCATCCTCGTAGGTCCCCTTCAGGTGGGGTGCCTTATTGGGCCTCAATGGTGTTTCTCAGCACATGGAATGTATGCTTTTATCAGGATGAGCAATATGAAAGATGAAGCCCTCTCTAGAGATTATGTGCACTGAACAAGCCTGCCTACATCTCGGTTACACAAAATCAGACCAGATACAAGCAGCTGTATAGCTCACAAGGAAATGTGACACAATAAGGACACAACCATATGTATTAGGATACACTGTCACAAATTCCTCATTGATGAATTGCCTCTGCTTTTCAAACACAGGCAATGTTTGACTCCGTTCACAAATGGAACGTTTTCTCTTTAATTTAGGCCAAGACATCAGACTTCATATATTCTGTCTTGCAAGTAGCTGAATAACGAATCTAGTCCTTTTGAAGAACTCCACAGCTGTTTTAACATCTGACACTCTTTCTCATTCACATCTTCAAGTCCAGATTTCAGGAAGCTCCGCATGAGACATTTGGACTCTTCCAATACCTAAAGTCAAAATAACACTCAGTATCGCATTTTGCATCTGAAAAAATTATTACGGATAATGGCATGAACAGAATTTTTACACTACTGACTCTGTTTTACAATTTAAATAACTCCTTTGGGCACAGAAACTAGATTTGATTTACAACTATAATTCCACTTGCTGATATTCAGCTTCTTTAAGAATTAAGGACTTCTAAGTTTATGTGGTAGTGCCAAAATTTTTAAAAGGAATGAAGGATCCTGAAGTATCTTAATTTATTGAAGCCATGAAACAGTACATGGAGCTGAACTCCCTCCTGCTGAAAATGTTACCCCTTGAAATGAAAATGTGTGAGGCACAATATACTGGCCACCTGCTTTCTGGAAGGTAGTCTTTAAGGTTACAGAGGTTGGAAACCCCAGTGTGGATGTCCATCATCTTTAACAATTTTCCCTCATGAATCATTTCCTTATCAAAACAGAGATGAATAGGAAAGGGCCTTTACTGCAAATACCTTTTATTTCCTAGATCCATTTTTAAGCACAGATTGCAGCCTTTAAAATTCTTTTTTGAATACGTAACATGTATGTACCTCACAAGGAACCCAACTAGTCAAACAAAACCATTAATAATTCATATATTGCTGTTTTTTTTGAGGGTAGAAGATTTAATGTAAACTAATATTTATGGTAAGGGAGATGCACACTCTCCACTCAGCTTTGTCAACACCTACATGCTAAGCCCAGTTCTTACCTGGTTTAGGTTATAACACTGCTATTCCAAAGTAATATTTCTCTTTAACTCAAGTAGATAGTGTTAATTGCAAATTCCGGGGCCTGTGTATTCTTTTTGGTCTGTTTATGCACTCGGATGAGCTCATCATATTCATTGCTTTTGTGACTTGATCCTGATTTGCATTTAGGACCTCAGAGAGTAAACCTTGTATCTGACACTTTTAACTCTCATCTTTGTCCACAAGTCAGCATCAGTCTTTCTAACAGATCTCAAGAGAAAATTCCATTGACAGCCAGGAACAGTGAAGGAAGGAATAGTTATCAGTGAGGCCCAGAAGTTTTTCTAACTCATATAAAACACATTATATCAGCATGATCAAATAAGCTTATGCTACATTTCCAGAGTTTCATTCTGAATGTCTTTTCAGAAGATTTGATCTACACTTCATTTAACTAAAAATCTCCTATGTCTCTTCCTTCTCTTTTACAACAGATCTCTTAAATGAAATGAAGGGATGCTAAGAGTTTCAGGCATAAGTAGTATAGCAAGAAAAGGCAATAGCTAGTTTTATTGAAGCCAGTATCACTTTCTTCACTGCATTTTGTTTTTTTTTTAAACAAGGATGTGCCCAGACCAGGAGTATATTTGCCTGAAGGGAAAAAACCTTAGGAAGCAGAAATAGGAAAGGATTTTCTTTCAACTTATATGTAACAAAAGGAAAGTTATAATACACTGTGACCAGACAGTGTTCAAATCCCTCTGTGTCTGGATCTCACCTCCTTAACAGCAGAGCTTAGCTGGCACTATCCTACCCTTCTGGTGTCTTCTGAACATTTTGCAGAATCAGGAACTATGCAAGTGCAGAAAAGAAGGCAGATTCAATTGAAATGTAGTAGATCAGGACAATGTGAAAGGCAAATACATTTTCTTACTGTCCCTACAGAGATTTCCCAGTCCAGCTGTATAGTTTCAGTCTCTTACACCTTCATGAAGAAATCCTATACTAAAATCCCCTTTCAAAATCTGGGGCAAGGAGGTTCCACTCATATTGAATAAATGTGAAAATGGGGAAAGGAAATAACCCTCCCTGACTGTGAAAACTGTGAAACTCCACGAGTTCACTGATCCCTATCCAGATTGTCTGATATTAGCCTTCTTTCACAGGTATGGTTGTGGAAACTGAGGACTCACCATGTGATGAGCCTTTGGAGCATGCCTTACCTCTGTGAAATGTAGTTTAATCACAAAGGAGTTTGGTTTCTTACCACTGCACTGCAGGATGCCATTTCTTTCACTCGTAGCATCACTTCTTGACTAAATGTTGTTGGCCAAAATACTTGCGACACTAATCCTCTGCTGCAGGCTTCCTGCGCTGTCAGCTTTCTCCCACAGAACAACATTTCATTGGCCTATAAAATCAAAAGATTACTTGCGATTGTGTGTCATCATTCTCTTAAAGTTTTTTCCATACTTGCCTGCAACTTTCAGGATTAAATTTAAAATAGGCTCCTGTATCTTTCCATAGTGCAAAATACTTTAAAAGGAGTTTCAGTACCTATTTAAGGATTGTACAGGTGGCCGGAGCACAGCATGGGTTGCATTTAAGAGAAATGTGCTGGCATGCAGGAGGAAACTGCTGCTGAGGAAAATTCGAGGGAAAAAAAGAGACTTATAGAGGTGGAAGCAAGGGCAAGCGGCCTGGGAAGAATACAGGGATATTGTCTGGGAAGCTAGAGAACATGTCAGGAAAGATAAGGCCCAGATATAATTAAATCTGGCAAGGTATATGAAAAATAACAGGAGGGGCTTCTATAGGTATGCAGAAAAGAAAAAGGACAAAATGGGCCCTCTCTGGAAGCTATCAGGAGAACTGGCTACCGTGGATTTGGAGAAGGCTGAGGTTCTCAATGACTTCTTTGCCTCAGTCTTCACTGGCAAATGCTCTGACCACACCACACAAATCTCAGAAGGCAACCGCAGGGACTGTGAGAATGAAGACCTTGGGCCACTGTAGGAGAGGATCAGGTCTGAGACCACCTTAAGAACGTTAACGCGAAGTCCATGGGATGTGATGAAATCCATCTGCGGGTCCTGAAGGACCTGGCGAATGAAGTTGTTAAGCCACTGTGTGTCATATTTGAAAAATCATGTCAGTCAGGTGATGTTCCCGACAACCGAATAAAGGGAAATATAACCCCCACTTTCAATAAGGGGAAAATGGACGACCCAGGGAACTACAGACCAGTCAGTCTCACCTCTGTGCCTGGCAAAATCTTGGAGCAGATTCTCCTGGAAGGCATGCTAAGGCACATGAAAAACAATGAGGTAGTTGGCAACAGCCAATATGGCCTCACAAAGGGGAAATACTGTCTGACCTATCTGCCTTCTACAATGGGGCTAAGGAACTGACCAACAGTTGACGTCATCTACCCGGACTTGTGCAAATTGTCTGACACTGTTCCGCATAACATCCTTGTCTCTAAATTGGAGAGACATCAATTTGATAGGTGGACCACTCAGTAAATAAAGAACTGGCTGGACGGCCACATGCAAGTAGTTGTGGTCAATGGGTCAATGTCCAGCTGGAGACCAGTAACGAGTGGTGTCTCTCAGGGATCGGTGTTGGGACTGGTCTTGCTCAACATCTTTGTCGGTTACATGAACAGTGGGATTGAGTGCGCCCTCAGCAAGTTTGCTGTTGACACCAAGCTGTGTGGTTTGGTTGATACCCTGGAGGGAAGAAATGTCATCCAGAGGGACCTTGACACACTTGTGAGGTGGGCTGATGCCAATCTCATGAAGTTTAGCCATGCCAAGTGCAAGGTCCTACACCTGGGTCGGAGCAATCCCAGGCACAGCTACAGGTTGGGCAGAGATTCAGAGAAGCTCTGCGGAGAAGGACTTGGGGGTGTTTTTTGATGAGAAACTGTACATGTGAGTGTGTACTCACAGCCCAGAAAGCCAACCATTCTGGGCTGCATCAAAAGGAGAGTTGCCAGCAGGTCAAAGGAGGTGATGCTGCCCCTCTGCTCTTGTGAGACCGAACCTGGAGTATTGTTTTCAGTTCTGGTGTCCTCAACATAAAAAGGACATGGAACTGTTGGAACAAGTCCAGAGGAGGGCCACGAGGATGATCAGGGGGCTGGAGCAGCCTCCCCTATGAAGATAGGCTGAGAAAGTTGGGGCTGCTCAGCCTGGAGAAGAGAAGGCTGCGTGGAGACCTCATAGCAGCCTTCCAGTATCTGAAGGGGGCCTATCAGGATGCTGAGGAGGGACTCTTCATTAGGGACTGTAGTGATAGGACAAGGGGTAATGGGTTAAAACTTAAACAGGGGAAGTTTAGGTTAGATATAAGGAAGCAGTTCTTTACTGTGAGGGTAGTGAGGCAGTTGAATGGGTTGCCCAAGGAAGTTGTGAATGCTCCATCCCTGGCGTTGTTCAAGGCCAGGTTGGACAAAGTCTTGGGTGACATGCTTTAGTGCGATGTGTCCCTGCCCATGGCAGGGGGGTTGGAATTAGATGCTTTTAAGGTCCTTTCTGACCCTAACTGTTCTATGATTCTATGAATCTGCATTGCTGATTTTACAAGACTAACTGTCTTTGCTGTCAGTGGACCTTTGTGTAAAATACTCTGTGGGACAAATTCTGCTTTGTTATACTCGTAAAAACTACACCACCTTCCTGACATTACTATGGATCGTCTTTAGAGAGCAGAGGACAGTATCTTGGTCTGTTACTGTACAATCCTACCATGGTACAGGCAAGGACTCTGTAGCACTACTCCGCTAATGCATTTCTTCCCTTTTCTACCATGAGCTTGACAATCTTTGCTTTTCCAACTTGTGTTCAATCCTTCTTGTGTTCAGCATGTGTAATATACTGCATTCTGAGGTAATTTTTTGATAAGAAATTGTAGGGATTAGATGAACTTTCTAGAGATTTCATTTCTATTCATGACAATTAAGAAAAACAGTTGTTTTCTGGTTTACTTTTTAAAGAGATAAAGAAGATCATGGATTTAAGAAAGGTTCTTCAGCAAACTGAGGTGGAAAACCTTACCAGTGCAACCCCCAGAATTTGTGGGAATGTGTATGATGAGCAGCCATCTGGAGTGAGTCGGATTGTTGCATATGGTGTCTGAAACCATGCCTTCTCACTTGCCCAAACGATATCACATAGTGGCAAAATAGAAGCTCCTAACCCAAGAGCAGGGCCGTTGATAGCAACCACAATGGGCTTCTTAAACTGAATAAAAGCTTTTACAAAATCCCTAAAATAAAAGATAAAGATCTTGAATACAGAAGTAACACTCAGATAAACACCCAAGCTTAACATACTTAATCTGAAAACAAATTAGAACCACAGATGAAAACAATAAATCCCATGGCCTGATTTTATGAGGTCAGAATTGCAAGATACTTTCTAGTTTGTGCATCGAAAAGTTTGCTTATATTTAGTTATTTAATCTTTTGAGTATCTGGGGTATTAAATAGTTCTGTATATGTTGTATGTGAATTGATTAAGTGGAATGCACTGACTTTTTGCAGTATGGTTTGCTCAGGTTTAGTTTAGTTTTACTTCTGGAATAGTAATTCATGAGTTTGCACACATAGTGCTTCTTGGTTTGTTCCACAATGGCTAGTATGGAATCTGACGATCTGGTTTTGCTAACTTGATGAACATAATATAATGTGAAAGACAGAAACCTCATAGGTGGATTGATGAATATTCATTTTTTTCTAAGTTCTCTTAAGACCCTATGTCAGAGGTTATTGCAAGTCCCATCCATGGATTAAGAGATATAGTAAATGTTTCTGGCACACCAGCAGAAAGAACAAGCCCCACAAAGGGAAGTCAGAGAGAGAAATGTCTGAACAGGGAAAGAGTGATCTGTTGGGTCTTCACTGTAAATGTCTTCAGCAAAGACATAACAAAGTAGATGCCCTTGACTGCACAACAGTAAATGTGAAGAGATGGAAAATAATGGGGAAGTAAATGTGATTGGATTCATCCGGATGAATGAACTAGAACATGTTAAATTATGTGCAATGAGGAGATATTTAAAATAAGCTACCTACCAGCAGTGGTGGAAAGACATCCGTTGAATGTAACAGCCTATACCACAGTTAGGAAAAAGCATGAGTGTAATTGTAGGCAAATTATAGGCTCCAGCAGCTCAGTGCACAGCAAGTATATGGAGGGAAACAAGATGCTCAATAACTTTAGAAAAGAGACATGTATAAATCAAATTCAAAACAAAAGAGGAGAATCTCTTCCTACACTGGGTATTTATTAGATCCAGAGTGCATCTTTGCTGACAGATTTGAGGAAAGAACATTTTGTCAAATGTGCCCTTTGATGGTGTCCTGGGTTCAACTGTAATAATTATTTTTCTCCTTCTTAGTAGCTGGTACAGTGCTGTGGTTTTGACTTTAGCTTGAGAACAATGCTAATAACACACTGATGTTTTTAGTTGTTGCTAAGTAATGCTTACTCTAATCAAGGACATTTCAGTCTCATGGTCTGCCTGTGAGGAGGGGCACAGGAAGCTGGGAAGAAGAAGAGACAGGACACCTGACCCAAACTAGCCAAAGGGGTATTCTATACCACAGCACATCATGCCCAGTATATAAACTGGGGGGAAAATAGATCCTCATGGGATTTGATACAGCTTTCTTCACACTGTGAGAAGTAGAACAGCTCAAGTGGCAAGACAAAGAGAGCAAAATAAGAACATATTTTCTGTTCAAGACCGTTTCTTTCTAGAAGCAGGGTTATGGAGAGCTGTGGTTCATTTTTGCTTGCAGGAGCAATGCTATTTCTTTATCTCGTTATTTCTTTGGTTGTTTATGGCTGAGTAATGACTGTGGATCGCTGCACCTTATTAATTCCAGAATTTTGAGAGGCTTAGTAAGTGAGCTTTCCAAGTAGGACTACAGATGGGAACAAGGATGTGATGAATAACAGGTAAAAAGAATAAACTATGTATAAATGTTAGCAGCAGATCTGAGGACCATGTGGAGGCAGATTAAAACAGTGTTGTGGAGGAAAGCAGGAAGGATATGTTCATATATGGGACTGGAATTGAATATGGAAAAGCAATTAGGAATGTGCAGAGGAAGAAGATGATGGGGAGGAAGAACAAAGCAGAACACATTAGTGGAGGGGAAGGGTTGAAGGAAATGCGAAATCTTCATATGAGTGAGCAAGGAAGGGAGGATCTAGAGATGGGGAGAGAGTGGAACAGAACATTGAGTAGATACAATGAGCCTCTGTCATGAGGGAAGGATGGGAATGCAGAGGATGGTAACATGGAGGGGTGTGGAACATGCCACCTGTAGGATGGAGTGGAAGGCTATGATATTGGGAACTTACAAAGGGAAGAAATGCCTGCATTTGGTTTACAGAAGCTGCAGTGTCCAGCACTCCACTTATCTGTGCTCCCTGTTTGGTACATTACCTGTTTCAGTCTTTGTACGCAGAATCAGGTATGTTTCTGCATCTCTGAACTGTATGTTCACACCTGTAGTTTCTGGGCTAGAAGACCCTTGGTTCAATTCAAGGCAGTCTTTGAAGAGGAGTTAAAATTGTAACTGTTGTTCCACAGTAGAGCCAGAAGCTCAAAGACAGGAAAAAGTGTCACATGCAGAAGGCTTTTGGTTTTGCTAGAGGATATCTGGGAAGTTGACCATCAAATACACTTTGGGATGTTGCAGGCCAGGGCTCATAAGTATGTCAAAGGCTATAAAGAACTTGAGCGAGTGAAGTCCTCCTTTGTTTTCTTTTGAGCACACCCAGAATTTTATGCATAACGATGTCTGACTGATGATGTGAGACTGATGCTGGGAATGCCTTCCAGTGGGGCTTTCTCCTGCTGGGCTCTGTAGGCCACATACATACAGTTGAACTGTAGTCTGTCTGCCCGCCTCTTCCCTGCTCCCAGAGTGTAATGCCAGACACATGTCTAGCTGGTGGCAGCTCAGGCTGATGGATCTATGTTCAGTACCTGGAGAGGAGCTACAGGGCCACACACAAGCTCCAAAGGCAGTGGATGAGGACACGGGCCAAGTGAATAAAACATTCATATAAGATGAAATTTGATCGGTATTTAAACTTCATTTTTGAATTGTGATCACTATATGAGCTCCATACTTCAGAAACATACAGTAATCAAGATTTTAATGTCATTTTGATGTAAGTCTAACTTGATGTACAGCAGTGGAGGCAGAGATCTGTTAATGTGTTTGAGGACATCCTAACCACTGAAAAAGCAAAGCTTACATTTTTTTTCTACTCTTATTACAGTATATTTTCCATGAGTTGAGTCCTTAGTTAAGTCCTTGCACAGAGAGTGCTAAATGGAAAATGTAGCTTCCAGAAGAACAATAAATATCTATTTTCAGTGGTCCTGAAGCCAATGTTCTTGACAAGGAGCAGTACATTGTACCAGTATTTCAAGAGTGTTCTGTGAGTCCAAGGACAGAAAAACTGAGTATCATAGTCTGGTTTATACTCAGTTATAAATTGAAATGATAAGTATACCTGTATGTTAAATGTATGTGGATAAATTTATACATATATAACAATACCTATGAATAATAAATTTGTGTCTTCTAATGCAGTGCAAGTATGTCTGTGTTTTCAAACAAGAATAGTGATTTTCTTTCCTCACTTATTTTGGTTTCACATTATTAAAAAATCCTCACAAAAAAAAAAAATAATAATTAGGATATGCCCTTCAAGGGGATTTTATTTTTTCAACTCTCACTAAGATGATATTAAAGCATAGCTAGGGTTTTAAAAACATGTCAACATTTGTTATATTTAAGAAGTACATTTTAAATTCTGTCAAAATAATTACTACTTTGAGAATTTCAAAAGCATTAAACTGAATCCAAACTGATCTGCAGTAGTTGTAACCAAGATAATTTGTGGTTAATACATGTCATGTAATAACTAAACCTCATGTTATAGTAACATATGCAAAAGATAAATCTGTTGTAAAACAAATTCTTTAATATTCCTTCATCGAATAGTTGCATAAAATTGTTGCTCTCAGAAGAGTAATATTTATTTGTAGGAAGTGGGGGAAAAAATATGGACCAAACCCTCTCCTGGTACAGACTGGTGAAATACCATTGGCTTTAGTGGAGTGATGTTGATTTATACTGGAAGATCTGCCAAATATGTATAAAGAATGCCTTGTGGATAATGGAAATATTTGGTGATATATTGTGCAGATTGATTTGTAGCCTGCATGTCATAAACCCCGCATTTCTATTAAGGTAATGTGATACATATATATATATATACACACACATATATATAAAAGCAAAGTCACATTTTAGTTATGAAAATAAAACTACATTTACATATATATTAAGTTATTTAAGTTTAAGAAAAAGAGTGGAGACCCTTCTAATTAAGGTTCTGAAATACAGTGGCAGACTGCTGTTTCAACAGAACATGAGTAAGCCATGGATTCTTGCTTGTACTGAAATTCATTACAATGATGAACATCAAAACAAAGTATTTGCCTTTCAGGAACCAGTTTAGTATGTGAAGCAATAACTAATTTGGATAAACAACAAAGTTGGATTTGAATTTGAAGGAATGATTTCAAATATTAAATACAGAGAAACTGAATAAAAGAAATCCCTGTGGATATCACCACTGGAATGAATGTGCATTGTTTTCTAAAAAGGAAAGGTCCAAGTTTCTTATTTCTAAGCAAATTTGTAGGACTATAATTAGAATGCAACCAACACTTAAATATACAACATGTTTTGGACCTGATAAATATCTTTATAATCACACATTGCAGTTCATAATTTAGAGATCATAGGTAAGCTTGGGTCACCTTATAGCTTCTGCAATCCTAGTGCTTTCCTTTCTTCTGTCATTGGACAACCTGCCAATTAAATATGAGTAATCTAGGCCACTACAGAACACACTTCCCACTGCGCTGAGAAATAAGAGTTTACTGTCATCAGCTGATGCATTGCACAACGCTCTCCGAACTTCCTTCATGATCTGTGGATAAAGAAAAGTAAACAATTCAACATGCATGCAATTGCAATATCATTTCCCTAGTTTTACAAAACTTTTGGGCACTATTAATACTTACATCACACGCACACACACAGAATCCCAAGGGTTGGAAGGGACCTCAAAAGATCATCAATTGTATATATTTATCTAATTTTAATAGACTTAGAATGATAACACTGAGAGTTTACAAAATATTTTATATTTGGAAGTTCTTTGTTGATGCTTATTAATTCAAAGAGCTTTTAGGACTTGGCTGTTCTTTGCTTTTTCTATGGGAAATTCTAGCCAGGTTATGCTATCTGGTTGCAATTTGATAATTTCAAATATCACTTTTTTATTTTCATCAGGTGTATTCAGTGTGCATCACTGTATCCTCAGTAACATGGCTATCACAACAATAGCCTATTGGCCTCAACAGGCTGTAAGTAAAATCTATAAACACCAGTTTTCAGTTCCTCAACTATTTTGGTTTATATGACTTCAACCAGAGCAAAGCAGGACACGAGGACATCAGCATGAAAAATATATTATGCATTTTTCTGTGTTCAATGATATTGTTAAAGCCTGCAAAAGTTAAAGCAAAAATAAAGCCACTTGAGAGACATTTTGACTCTGATCAAAGCTATTAATTGCACCATAAATCAAACCTAATCAAAATCTTTATAGAACTGAGCTGCTGGTGTTGTAAGAAAATGCCCTTTCATGGAAGCAGAGAATTGTTTTCCTAATGATTTTTAGAAGGAAATACTATTTCATGAACTTCTGATGGTAACTTCTTGTTTGGTCACCATTCAGCATGGCTAGTCAGTTGTCATTGATTTGAGCCATTTCGGCTTCCACTCTTCCCTTTAGTGATTTGCTCCTCATTCAAGGGCCATGAGTTCATCAAATGTGACACTTCCTGTGCTTAAACATACTCATGTGTCAAAGTATTTCCTATAGACAGGGTCCTGTTGAGTCAATTTTTTCTCCTTTGTACTGCAAGATTTGCTGTTAGTGTAAATTTAGGTAAAAGATAACAGAATGTGGTTGGGGACTTAGATATGGTTTCCATGTGAGAGAAACCCAAGATTTTGAGCTTGTGAGTATTTTTTTTCACTATTTCCTGTTTCCAAAAATTCTTTAGATCATTGAAGTGCCTTATTTAAGAAATGTCCCTAAACACAGAAGTTCTGCTTATACAGTTCTAGGTAGCCTTTTATTAGGAATCCTGTGGCTTGTGAGACCATGCTCGAACCAGTATGTTCAAACCCTGCAGTGTAATGCTACCTGCCTGCTTTCCATACGTGTTTGCATAAAAATGATTTCTACTGGCTGCTGAAACCAGGACAGGCGAAAGCAGTGAACTTTCCAATGCTTCGCTTTTATAATTAAACTTCAGAATGCCTGTAATACCAAGTATGTGACAGTGGGTAGAAGTGATTAAAAGCAGCAGAATTTGGAAGTGTATTTGAAATTCTTGCGCAGGTATGAAAATGTCATCAGCAGTTTTATAAGTACTGTGTATTCCCAGATTCTCAGAGGCTGTATCAGCCTTCACCTGGTAAAAGCATCGCAAAACTGCACATTTTGTAAAGGGGAAACAGAGGAAAAAACCCTAAAACCTTTGTTCAAAGTTAAAAACCAAACTTTAGAAGGTGGCAGATGTTAGAATACAAAGCAACAAGTATTTTGATAGTCCTAGCTCCATGTGAATGCAAGATTGTCTTCTTAGTTTAGTTTAAATGTTCTCAAAATCTGCTCTTTCTTAGGGAGGATGTATAAATAATATCAGGGAATGCCAGTCAAACATTTTATATACAAGAGTGTTGTTTGTCATTCAGCAAGTTTCTTTACCATTCCCCTTCCTCCAGTGATATTTGTGCATGTACCATTGTCGTGGTTTAAACCCAGTCAGGTAACTTGTTCACTCACTCCCAGTGAGTGGTGCCGAGATGACAACAATCGAGGTCCGTGTCCGTCTCCCCCCCCCCCCACCGGGGCTCTCCCCTTCCCCGCTCCCGGAGGAACGGGGAGGAGGATTGAGAGAGTGCAACTCCTACGGGTTGAGACAAGAACAGTCCAGCAACAAATCACCACCGCTACTATCAGCTAAAACAATGATAAGGGAAAATAACAAGGGAAGAGAATACGATACCACCGGCCAAGAAAGCGAGTTCCACCCGGAAGCCCCTGTCCTTCCGGGTAACTCCCAGTTCCCCCCCACCCCGGGCATGACGTGCTGTGGTATGGAATACCTCCCCGGCTAGCCCGGGTCAGGTGCCCCGTCTCTGCTTCCTCACAGCTTCCCCTCCTCCCTGGCAGAGCATGAGCCTCACAGAGTCCTTGGTCAGGGTAAACATCACTTAGCAGCAACCTAAAACATCGGCTTCACCAACACTGTTCTCAAACTAGAAGTCAAAACACAGCACTGCACCAGTTAACACAAAGGAAAAACATGACTGCTACTGCTGAACCCAGGACAACCATCTCCTTGATTTTACTGCTGCTATCCTTCAAACATATTGTTATCATTCCAAAGCTGTCTCTTTTTTATCCTGCACCTTATTGATTTGAATGGCTAAAGCCATCTGAAAGTATACCAAACTTTTGAGCACAGCTGACACTACTTGAAGGAAAACCCAATATTCTGCTATGACTGCTCAGTGTTTTGGAGAGGGTGATATTAAAAGCCCATTATGAGGAACTGATTTCTCAGATACGGTGAAAAATGGGTAGGCTTCAACAGTATTTTGGATAGTATGTTTGAGCAGGAGTGGAAATTTAGTTCCACTGCTCCACTAGTTTATAGCAAAAGAAAACAATATAAAAAAACAGGAAACCGTAATGTGTTGGTGTTTTCAGGCTCCAAAAATTATTATTTCTTTTACAACTGTAAGTTTGTCATTAACTTTATAATGAAAAGGTGCTCAGAAACTCATTAGAATACACCAGTGCCAGCAAAGTCAAGCCTTGTTCCCTTGTTCTACGCCCAGTCCTCTGCTGGTGTAGTCCAAAATCCACCTAGCCATCTTGTCATTCATCCTGATTCTAGCCAACCTTGATGTCCACTGTTGTTTCCCAATGCCCTGGCATCATGGCTTTCCTCACCCATTATCTGGGCATGGGTATTTCTCCACAGACATTTATATGGTTATAGGAAAGCTGCTAACAATAAAGACAAAAAAGATGGTTTGTCTGTAGGGTTGTAGAACTGTATTAAACTGCAATACTGTAAAGTAAATGTAATTTTAGGTCAGAACTGCAGTCTGGTTTTAAGCACAAATTCCCATTTAATGCTGTAGTGAATTCAGTTTGCAAATATAGAGATACTACGTGTGTCATGGTTTAAGCCCAGATGGTAACTCAGAACCATGCAGCTGCTTGCTCACTCCCCCACTTCTCCCCCCCCCCCCCCCTCCCCGGGGGGATGGAGAGGAGAATTGAATGAATGTAAATCCCATGGACTGAGATAAGAACAGTCCAGTAACTAAGGTACCATACAAAACTACTACTGCTACCACTGATAATAATGATGACAAGGGAAATAAGAAGGGAATAATAATGATAAGGGAAATAAGGGGAGAGAATATGAAACTAAAAGGGGAAAGGAAAAAACAATAAACACAAGTGATGCACAATACAGTGGCTCACTACCTGCCAACCGATACCCAGCCTGAATCGAGCAGCAATCTGGGCCTTCCAAGTAACTCCCCCCAGTTTATAAAATGGGAATGATGTGCTGTGGTATGGAATACCCCTTTGGCTAGTTTGGGTCAGGGGTCCTGTCTCTGCTTCCTCCCATCTTCCTGTGCCCCTCCTCACTGGCAGAGAATGAGACTGAAAAAGTCCTTGATTGGAGTAAGTATTACTTAGCAACAACTAAAAACATTGGTGTGCTATCAGCGTTGTTCTCAGGCTAAAGTTAAAAACACAGCACTGCACCAGCTACTAAGAAGGAAAAAAATAACTGCTACAGCCGAACACAGGGCAATGTGACAGATTCCTTCTTCCTTTATTATCTTCCATAGTCTTTAAACCTTCCCTCATTATGGGATAACTATGGCATTTGTCCAATAAAATTTTATTTTTCCTAATGGAACATACCTAAAATTTGCAAGACTCTATAGCATTATTCTCCTATTCCAATTTTTTCTTTTTTTTTAAATAGCTCTTTATAATCTTTTAGTTAATTTTCAATTGTGGGGACAGTATTTCTACATGAAAACATTTGACTAAAATTTCTGAGGAAGTATTTACAGTGGGTGTCCTGGGTTCAGCAGTAGCAGTCATTTTTCTCCTTCTTGGTAGCTGGTGCAGTGCAGTGTTTTGACTTTCAGCTCAGGAACAGAGCTGATAACAAGGATGTTTTGGTTTGGCCAAGGACTTTGTGAGCCTCATGCTCTGCCAGGGAGGAGGGGAAGCCAGGAGGAAGCAGAGACAGGACACCTGACCCAAACTGACCAAAGAGGTATTCCATACCACAGCACGTCATGCCCAGGATGTAACTGGGAGTGAGCCGGAAGGGCTGGGAGACGGCAGGGTTGGAGGAGGTATCGGTCGGAGCTTGGTCGGGCTGGGGGGGGCGAGTTATCGGTCGACTGGTGGTGAGGTGTTGTATTCCCTTGTTATTTCCTTTATCATTATTATCATTGGTGGTAGCAGTAGTGATTTGTGTTATACCTTAGTTACTAAACTGTTCTTATCTCAACCCGTGGGAGTTGCATTCTTTTCAATTTTCCTCTCCATCCCTCCGAGAGCAGGGGGAGGGCAAGAAAGGGGGGGGGAAGTGAGCGAACGAATTACCTGACTGGGTTTAAACCACAACAGTGGGCCACTTATTTAGCTTGTGATAATTGACTGAACTATAAATATAGACCAGGCCTAACGCTTCACTTACTGTTTAGTTGAAACAAAAATGTTTAATAAAACTATCACTTTCTCAAAAATTGCTTATTTTTTTAATCCTGTCAAGAAAATAAACTGGTTCTTTCCTTAACAGG